AACTATGGTCATGCCATCTCAGGTTTTATTCTTTTGTCAGCATACACGATAGCACTACACGATAGAAATAGAAGCACACAAGTTTGGGGGGTGGACAATGTGAGAAAGGGCTCAAGAAATTGCAATGAACAAAAACAATGTGTATGCTAAGCCTGAAATGCAGGCAGAAGCACAGAGACGCAACATGAAAATCACTGCCTGAAATTATCATTATGGCTCTGAGTCTCAGAGAATTTAAAACTGATTTCAGCAAAGGCAGAGTAGAATAAGGGTAGCAATAGCTGCTAACCATGACTATTTATCATCCCCAGCATCCCAGAGAATACAGCGTTCTGTGCATGTTGTTTGGGAAATGAGTGGCAAGAAGCATTTCTTCTTGTCTGTCTGTCCATCTTTTTCTCTTTCTTTCTTTCTTTCTTTCTTTCTTTCTTTCTTTCTTTCTTTCTTTCTCTCAAGCTCCCCCCACCTCATCAATGTCCCCTGATATTCCAGGTGGTTAACAATAGTGTCCAGATTGGAAAGAAGGGCTTTAGTGAAAAAACAACCAAAAGCAGATTAAAAATACGGTGAAAAATTCAATGAAGTAAATCAACATTTGGAATCAATGGATAGCCTTCCTCTCCCAGAATTAACAGACTAGATGAATCTGTACAGACAGATATGAATACAAGCGGGTTTGCCTCCTGCCGAAGGGAAAGGGGAGGGGGGGTATGAGGTGAACTAGAGCTTTTTACCAAGAAGTTCCTGAAGCTGAGAATGTCCACTGCAAAGGGTATCACTTCCATCTCAGATAAATATGGTTCAGTAGCTGATGCTACAAGGGTAAGGGCTCCTGCCTTAAAACACAGGCAACCTCATCCAAGTTTGGAAGAAAGCAGCAGATATCATGGCCTGGCCCACAAGCTATTAGCCTTTGTATAGTAACAGTAGTAATGTGAATTGCTCTTTGAAAAGTCATTGTTGCCAGTGACACAGATGTAACAAGTGTCCTGTACTTCTTATCAATTGTGCCTTAAAACATTTCTATATTCCAGGGGTCTCAAATTCCTTTTTGTCCCCTAACCTGTTCCTATGACACTCATTCCTATGCCCCAGGTGTAAGATCTTGCATTTCCACATTGAATGCCATCCTGCTGCCCCCCTGCCCCCCCCACACACTTCCATATTCTGGATCTGGAGTACATACTCCTCAGTTATGGCCACTGCCACCATTTTAGTATAATCTGTGATTTGACCAACAGACTGGTCACCCCCTCCCCAGCTCATTGACGAAAAGACTGAAGAGATCGGTCCCAGAACAGAGCCCTGAGGCCGCCCACTCATGTGTGTTCATGTGTACTGCTTTTACTTTGGCCTCACTGGTAGCAGACTGGTATGTCTTTTCCTCTTGATAACATTAGGGTGTTGCTGGGCTGACCGAAACAACTTTGAACTAGAAACAGAAATGTGGCAGCTTCCATTCCTGATGCCCTGAGCTTCCATTCATTCCATGATTAGGTGGAACATATCAATGAGTCCCATGCTTCCCCTGGGAATCTTGCCCTGGTCACATGGAGTGAACTTGTTCTGCTGCAGAGATAATGAGTAAGAATTTCTTTTGGTTCTGTGTACAAGGAATCTGGTTGACTGCTTTAGACGTTTTGAGAAAAAATTTACAAACCAAAAATTTCCAGTTAAACAAACCAATAACATTTAGGAGATACATTTAATTAGAAAGGCAAAAAGCCAGCTGCTGTTCCAGGGTGAAATGGACTCTTTGGATAAGAAGGATGAGGCCTGGCAAAGGGGCCTCCAGACATAGACAGGGCAGAGGTGAAAGAGCTGTCCTGAATTGTCTGCTTGAAAACTCTACTTATCCCCTGAGAATAGACATCCTCAAGAGAATATAGCACAATTGTAGGTTAAAAACTGAGGTCACCTGCCCCCACATTCTGCTATGAACCACAATACCTTAGAATACAGAGACATGTTAAACATTTTTCAGATATTGTATCACTTCATGGGATTCACCATAGTTTTCCCAAGTAGGGAAGAAATAACTATCAATCGATACATCAAAATGAATATATAAATAATGAGTCATCATCTTCTTCATCATGATCATCCTATGGCCAAGTGTCATCATACAAAACATGCTGAACTCAATTATTTCTATTCCAAAATACTACTGAAGTTCACATCAAGGAACAAGGTACCCAGTGAGGATCAGTTTTACATCATGTTGAGATCAATGGGGCTCCCTCCACCCAATATCTGCAAAAGTATGAAATTGGAAATAAATTTGGAACTTCAAAAACTGAGCAAATATGGTCATGCCATCTCAGGTATTATTCTTTTGTCAGCATAAACATTAGCACAAGCTGCTTCCTAGAATAGGCCAACTATGACTCAAGCAAAGTTAGCACAGAAGACATGCTCTATGTTTTCCTTCTTATAAGATGCTTCTTGCTGTTCAGACCAGGCTGCAGCAATATAATGAAGCATTTTGGGAAGAAGATACAGCACAGGAGGGCAGCGCTGGAGGCTAAAATAGAGAAGATCTCCACAGCCACCACGTATTTCCCCTTAGTGCTCAAATAAGTTGGAACAAAGGACAGCCACACACTGCAAAATGCCAGCATGCTGAAGGTGATGCACTTGGCTTCATTAAATGTATCAGGCAGCTTCCTGGCAAGGAAAGCTAGCATGAAGCTGATGGCGGCCAAAAGACCCACGTAGCCCAAGACGAAATAGTACATAATGGCAGAGTCTAGGTGGCATTTCACAACAATCTCTTTGGTGAGTGACTGCATGTCAATGTGGGTGAATGGAGGAGAGGTTCCTAGCCACATTATGCAGATGCCTACTTGAATGAGGGAGCAGAAAAAGACAACGGAATTGGACAGCTTTTTCCCCACCCACTTCCTCATGCTGGACTCCGGTTTGGTGGCCATGAAAGCGAGAACTACAGTGACAGTTTTGCCCAGCACACACGAAACAGCTACTGAGAATATGATGCCAAAAGCAGAATGTCTGAGAAAGCAGTTAATATTCCCGGGATATCCAAGGAACAGGAAAGAGCAAAGGAAGCAGAGCAGGAGAGAGATGAGGAGGGTATAGGTGATATCCTGGTTGTTGACCTTGACTATTGGGGTATGTCTGTGCTTAATAAATATTCCCAACACCAGGAGTGTGACCAAAGAAAAGAGAGCAGCAACCACGGCTAAACTGACCCCTAAAGGTTCTTCATAGGAGAGGAAGGTGGTCAGTTTGGGGATGCATTTGTCCTGTTCCTTATTTGGATATTGATCTTGAGGGCATTTCAGGCAGTCATCCATATCTGAAAACAAAGGAAAACAACTGACCATCACAGTGCTAGTTTAATGTAAATGGAGGAGATAGTGAAGCAATAAAAACCAATAGCTATCAACCTGTTTCTACTGAAAAATATTCAGGGGCTAGAATTCTGATTAGGGAGTTAACTGTCGGAACATTTCCCTAATCCTATGCAGTGCCCAAAGAGCTCACCTGTCGGATAGTATAGAAATTAAATAGCAGCAGTGGCGGCGGCAGCATATACACTTCAAAAACAGTCAACTCTATTATCTTGTTATCCTGAAATATGTGGCTTAACTTGTCACCTACCTTTTTCATGGGAAAACATTCCTTCTGCACACTTAATGCAGTCATAGCAGCAAAACTTCTCACTCTCCTTTCTTTTATTCTGGTAACCAGGCTTGCAGGATAAACTGCACACAGAGAGGGGAAGCATCTGCCCTCAAATCAGAAGAGAAACATGGCCAAGAAATGAAATAAAATGAAATAATGCATTGACAGAAGAGAGTAGAGATCATGCACATGAAAGTAACTACCAGGTGTGGGTGATATCATTTCTGAAGTCATTCCCCAGGCTGAGAGCCAGGGAGCAGAGAAAAGAATAGTTGAAGCCCCATTAACACTCCCGAATGTCTCCCAAAAGCCTTAAGGAATGTTAAGCATTTTGTTGGGTCACATTTTACCATGCCTCATTTTTTTTAGAATATATAACATATTTTTCTTTTAATTTTTGTGAGGAACTGGGATTTGTGCCAGTTCAAACTTTATTTTTACATCTCTTTTGTCTTTGGAGATTCTTGTGCATATAGGGTGGAAAGCAGAATTGTATTATCTGCATTCAGTTTGGACAGGAAAAAGTAGAATAGAGATGAAATAATCAAATAAATACATGAAATGTTGCTCGTCCATGGAGTCATGAGTTTAGCTAGATATTTGCAACCAAGGTTGGGAATGCATATCATTTTTTTATATTTCCAAATTACAGTTACGGAGTTGATTTACCATGTTCATGTTCCTGATCATTTGAAAATAAAAGCAAACACACAAGCAGGGAAAATGTTCATTTCTTTAAACTGAGGAAGCTACTTTTCATATGGGTCATTTTTCTAATTGAAAGTGTCCATTCTCTTCCACTCAAATTTGAAGAGAAAGAGAAGAGAGGCAAGGCAAGGTAACTGGGAATTGTGTTTCTGCTCTCATTCACAACATGGGATGTGAATGGGACATGATCCATAATTTGCAAATTAAAAATGGAAATTTTTATATTCCTCTTTCCAACACCACCACCATCAATCTCAAAACTAGACCCCGGCTTGTACTATGCCATAATCCTCACGTGGTTAAAACTTCTGTGCCACACAATCATATCTTCATGGATGGTAACTTCTTTTCCTTCTGGAGCACTGGGGTCAACACTTCCAACTTTCACTCTAAGAAAGGAGGTATTTCGAAATATGAGCACATTCAGTATATCAAATTGAGCCAGTATTTCCCAATTTTCATTGAAGTATAGAGCTGCTCCACCAGAATTATTAAATGAAATGCCTTGAAGAAACGAGTGCAGCTAGTAGAAAGAGACACAGATCAGAGGAGTAAAGCAACAAATTCATTCAAGATATATCTTTTTTTTTTTACAAAGATCTCAGAGAGGCTTACATCATTCTCCTTCTGCTGCTCCCAATCTTAACCTCCATAAGAACCCTGTGAGAGATATTGGACTGAGAATCTGGTGCTTGGCTGAGGGTCACCCAGTTGACTCCAGGGCTGAGTTAGGACTAGAAACAAGTTTGCCTGCATCCCAGTCTTAACCACTGCACCATACTGGCTTTCTATTTAACCTATACCCAACCAGGAGATGGAGATGTTTAGCATCCTGAAACCCTAAATTGAGTAATGGGATGACATAATATTAAGCTTTGAATAAGCAATATATTTACTGACTTTGCCTTAGAAGTACAATCAGTTATTTTGCACCAAACAAAAAGGATTCCTTTGAGTGTGTGCATTTTAATGGCCCATGGAAGGCACTCTTTAATCCTCATTTTGAAGACTTTTTAGGGTGACCTGCCCTCTGCTATGCCAAAAAATCTTTCCCTTACCTATAGGCACATTCACAACTATCACACTTTTGCCCCAAGATGAGTGCATCTATCTCCCCATACCTAAAACCGCATGGTTTTTGTGGTTGTGTCACGCCGACTTTATCTCATGGCCTTGAGATGGAAAGTGGGAGAAAACCCTGTTCACCTTAAAAACTGCCTCAGGCTGGTAATCAACTTTGGTTTTCTGCCACCTTGTCCTTTGGCTGCATGAATGGTAGCTATTTTATTGTGCAAATATTACCTGCCAATGTTGGAACTCTTCATCAATTTCTCCCTGCAGCATCATTCTGTGGTTGGATCTAGATGCCTCCATGGTCTGCAAACTATGTGCCACCATATAGACAGCATTGTAGATGCTGTAGCTGTGGCCAGTCATGTCCATTTCAAAGATAAGACCCGGAAGGGTCTCCAGTCTCTCCTCCCCAGTACAGATTCCATCTAACTCCATGGGTGCCCTGGGAGATGCAAGTAAACAACCAAAGGCATTTTCCCAGAAGCCCTGACGAAAACCATCCCCATGCATGAAATAAGGTTTTATGTTGTGAAGGTATGTCTGGAAGGCTGAAAGTGTATTTGAATGGATAGCTAGGGAAAGTGTCCCTTGGAATATATGAAAATTCCTACGAGTTAGGAAGCCCGTTACTGAAAAATCGATCTGTGCGGTTGTAATCCACACCTTTCCAAAAGTTCCATTTCCCATGTGTCCGGAATCTGCTAGAGCTACGAAGGTGCTCAGCCATAGAAGAGTCATGCTTTCACCATAGATGAGACATGTTTTGACTTTTTCTTCTATGATATATGGATAAATATTCGAGGCCATATCAGCCAGATCATTGAGCAAAAGTAAAAGTCCTTGTTTTGGGATCCTTTTTGTGAAAGCTGAACAGATTTTATTACTAGAAAGCAATGGCTCCAAGATCTGCAAGAAATGATCTCCACCAGTATCATCAACAGCAAAGATCCCAATCCAGGTCCATCCAAAATGCTGCAGTAACCCAATAATCCCAATAAACTGATGCGCTTCATTCGGGACCATTCTGTAAAAGGAAGGGACCTGGGTTACATCACTTTTTTCTGGGGAAAATGAGCCAAAGGTAAGCTGGAAGAGAATGTACAGATAGGTGAGAAAACTGAGCAGAAAATAAGGGATTGAACATTGAAAGAGACAAATATTAAGTCCTCTTAAGAACACCAAACCCAGGTATAAAATAGGAGATACCTGGCTTGAATATAGTACATGGGAAAAGAATCTTGGCATTCCAGTCCATTTCAAACTTAATACAAGGCTGAACCACATTGTGGCTGAAATTGTAGTGTTAACCATCATTAAGAGTGGTATCACTTCCAAATCATAGGAGGTAATAATTTCACTCTTCTCAATGCTAATCAGATGCTACCTCTAGTGCTGTGCCTGGTACTAGAGCCCAAACATGGCAAGATTTCAGATGAATTCAAACAAGTTCCGATAAAGACAGAAAAGATGATCGGGGTGATAGGTTAAAACCAATCTCAGTGAAGGAAATTGCAATCCAACGAATGGACTTTGCAATTAAATTTGAGAAGAGTTACCTAAGAGTATACTTAAATGATTGTTAAAAAGAAAAGGACTCAACTTTCAGCCAAGGCTGTAGGACATGAAATAGGAAACTTAATAGCCCGGTGATAAGAATTGGAGTTCTTTTCTTTCTAGTTATTTGTATCACGGGTCTGTAAAAACTGTACCTAATGACACTTCCATTAAAATGAATCAAAACAGAACACAAAACAAAGTAAAGTTCTAAAATTCATGGTATGGGCAGTATGCCTTCACAAGGTCTTGCGCTTTCAGGTTTCCCTAGCACCATTGTCAGCCCAGCCTCTTCATGCTGTCCATCAGTTTTGCTTCCAGGGAAAGTTCTGACTTGGTCTGATCTAGGACCCACTTTTTGTCTTTCTTTTCCTACAGGGTATTTGCAAAGCTCTCTTCCAGCTCCATGTTTTGGACACATCATTTTTCTTCTGGTCAGCTTACTTCACTGTCCAGTTCTCACACTCATACATTACCACAGTTGTGTAGGTCATCATGGCCATGGTCTCCAATGAAGCATCCTTTACTAGATGATCTTTTCTAGTTCTTTCCTCCCTGCACTTCCAAGTCTCAGTCTTCATATTTCTTGGCAGCTGTCTCCCTTTGAACTGAAGACTGGGTCAAAGTCTGCAAAATCTTCATAATTTCACTTGCTTCAAGGCTGACAGCAAGAAAGGATAACTTTTCTCTAGTCATGATTTCTGTTTTCTTAATCTCAGCTGCAGCCCTCTTTCTGCACTTTCTTGTTTGATTTTCAGCAGGAGTCATTTCAATTCATTGCTGCATTCTGCCAGTAAAATATGAATATTTTAGTAGTATCCTTTGTATAACTTAAATTGTAAATGTATTTTTCCAATTTTCACTCCTTCCTCCTCTAAGCCTAATCCAGCTTTTTTATGATGCATTCTGTGTACAGATTGAATGGAGAGGGAGGCAAAATTCATGTTTTTTGGACACCTTTTTGTGTTTCACCATATTCTTTCCTAGCAGTACTTTCTTGTCCATAATGCAGGTACCCTGTCATCAAGAGAGAGCAAGGCAATCAAGTGCTGAGTAAAGTTCACTCACAACCATCCACATTTTCAGCTGACTCCAAGGCTTAGCTGTAGTTCATAAGCACAGGATGATCTTCTCTTGATTTTTTGCATGCTCCAGATGCTGCCATATCTTTATTACGTGATCACAAATGACTCCTTTTTTTTTTTTTTTTTGGAATTTGTTTTGCTATCCAGGCATTTCCTGCTCCAGATGCAGTAAAAAGAAAGTACAATGAATTGCCAAAATAAACAGGAGGATGTGGATGGATGGCTCTTCTTTACAAAAAAAAAAAAAAAATGGATGCATCATAAATATTTGCATGAACAGAATTTGGGTTCATTTAATCTAAGATACACATTTCCTGAATAGATGTAAGCATGTTAAGATCAGTAGATACTGACTGAAATTATTCCCAGTAGGAGGTGTGAACATACGCACTGCTGGATGCAAGCATCCTACCTGTGGAACCTTGTACTGACTTAAGAGCTCTGCCATGTGGAAAGAGATATCAGCATTAATTCCCCCAATGACGGCTATGAGATTTTTCTGAGTGCGACACGCGTAGTTTGGGACAAATCTATGTGAATGACCAAGCAGTTCCAGAGTGGTGTGATAGGTCATCTTTGCATCATAGTAGCTGTCATAGATGTGGAATCCAAGGG